GCTGGAAGCGGATTAGCTATAAGCTTTGGACGAATCGGGGATAGGATATATTTGCACACGCGCACCTTATTTCTGTATCTCCGGAACGGCGTCACCGATTGTTTTTCAATTTTGGTGGGTGGCTAGAGACTCAATAGCTGTAAGCTTTAGACGAGTTAGGGATGTGGCACACACATGTGAACTTGTGCACGAGCACACCTCTTCTCGCGCTTGCTCGCTCACATTGCCGAACACGGAGCTGAAAAAAAGACCACCCCGAGCAAGAACACCGCTGTCCGCGATAAGCGGCCTGACCATAAGTCAGCTCAAATGATAATCTGCATACGACCGTCGACCACATATATTGGACGAATAGCGTCACAACCCAGAGCCCGTGTAACCAAGCACAGATCAAAGATATATTTCAAGAAATGTGTATTTATAGTCCTGCCAGTGGAAGGCTCAAAGAATTGGCAAACGCTTCCGACACCCCGCAGCGGCATGCTCTACGGGGATCTCACTCCACTTGCTTCACGGTCGCAATGGCCGCCGCTGATGGCGGCACATCGGCCTTCACCCCACCAAACACTTTGGTTCTCAGAAACCAATTCAGATTGACCATGTCTTTAGGAGTTTTGATGTTAAAAATCCAAAAGGTGGCCTGCCACAGCAGGAATGCTTGGTCTGGTGGCGCCGATACCACCTCCTGGGCCTCGACGAATACCGCGTCTTCCCCGCCCAGCTCTCCATTCACGATTATGGGATGGAAAGTTTTGCGGGCCTCCGTTGGCTTCCGTCGTCTCTTGGAGAATGCGATGCAGGTTCTCCAGCTCATCCCCTGCAAAATGTTCATAACCAAATTATAGGTACACTTAACATTGCTTGGGAGAAAATGGAGGAGAAAGAATAGGAGAGAAGGAGGGAAAGAGTAAAGGGGAGAGAGAGAGAGAGAGAGAGAGAGAGAGAGAGAGAGAGAGAGAGAGAGAGAGAGGGAGGGAGGGAGGGAGGGAGGGAGGGAGGGAGAGAGGGAGGGAGGGAGGGAGGGGAGGGGAGGGGAGGGGAGAGAGGAGAGGAGACACGAGGAGAGGAGAGGAGAGGAGAGGGGAGGGAGTGAGGAAGGAAGCAAGGAAAGATGGAAGGAAGAAATGATGGAGGAGAGGTAGGCGGATGTAACAAGGCAAACAAGACAAGACATGGACCTGATGAGTTGGCGCAGGGCACTGATAGGTACTACATTTTGGCACATGATGTGAAAATAATGTACAATGCCTCAGACTCAGCAGTTTGGAAAATGTAGGTACAAATTACACATGCATTAGTGAAGAAGTTTCTGCATTTAGATTAGAATAAATTGTTTTGAAAACATTAGACAATGCCTGTATCTTGAAAAAGGATTAGATTGGGCTGTGTCAGGACAAAACTGGGGATGAGTCATGTGAGCTCGCAAAGTTCTCAAGTTGTGCCAGGCAACTTCATGAGATTACACTAAAGGAGCTCCAGCGAATTATTTTCAGCATGCCCAGCTTGAGTGTGCAAAATGTACACTGGACTGGACCACTGTAGTGTCTGAACGTGATGCACAAAACTGAACGTGACACACCAGCGACAAAACAAAACACTACAACCATCTATTGCAAAAACAATTCATACATACCTGCAGCTGTGTGTCCCTGCATCCTGGCCTGCTGTCTTGCATGAGCGATGCACATAATACAAATGTAGCTGTACTTAGTCCGCTTAATCCAAAGAAATTCATCATATCATTTTTTGATTGAGCGTTCCTCAACGTGAGACCATAGGTACCATTATCACGAGCTTCCTGAACAATACTGTGGTGACGGCGACGCCCACTGCTACAGCGAGGAGGTGGTGCTTTGATGAGCTGTGGAAAAACAGACACATTTGCAGTCACCACTTCTATTATTGTTCTATGAATCCATGACAAAGCCACTTAGAATGCAAGTATGAATAACCTAGCATAAGCCCAAATTTAACTTTTCATTAAAAACTAGAAGATATATCCTATTGGTCCCTGCTTGCACAGACAATTGACTGAATAAATGATATGGCCACACTGCAAACTTTCGCACAACCTGCCAGGCCATAACATTTCTAGCTACTGTGGGCAGTTAAATGTGCCTCTCTAATCAACAATTGCCCCAAACAACAAAATAGGCCTATTATTTACTTTAAAATAAACTATAACCCTGTAAATAGCAATACATTTCGTAAATAATTAAAATATTATACCGCGGAAAGCATGCGCCATGATAGCCTACAAAATCATCATAAATTCTATCGCGATATTTCAACATTTATACCGACGCACATGAAGGTTGAGGCTATTCAAATTTACAAACATGATCTAAATTATTTAAAAAATGCTAATTTTACCTATAAGAACCAAATTACCAATAATTCGGCGCCAATTTCCGGCCTCACCCACACACCGACAACACGACAAATGGCGGCGTGCTAATAGGCGACGGTGCCTTTTCGAAGAAATCTTTATTACGACCAATTTAAGACGTGTGTAAAATGAATGTTCAATGATTTATTTTTAAATTAGAAACGTAAAAATGTGGATAAAAGAATAATATCCGCCTAAAAAGGGCTTTAAAAAATATCACTTTTCTGAAAAAGTTAGGCTAGCAGTTTATCTTTCGCCATATGAGCTAAAGTACATATCCCACTGCTACCGGTCCATATCATTTCGGGAGAATAGAATATTGCGTTTCACCTGGTAAAAAATCGTGTCGATATGGACATTATAACAATCGAAACGAAACACTTGAATAGTTCGGTGCACGAAAAGTAATCAAAATCTTGATTACAACTCCTTATATGGTCATGCCACGCCCCATTTTCATGACGTCATAATCATGAACTTGATTAATCAAGGGGGAATATTTGTTTCTGGTCCCTAAAAAGCTGTTTCTGGCACCTAATTGCTGATCAGCCCCAAAATGCTTATTCGACCCTAATATCTGAATCTGGCACCTAATTGCTTCCACACAGCCTAAAGTTGCCAGATCGTCTAGTTGAACTCCGTATTTGCTGTTTGCTGATTCAGCACCAAAACCAAAACATCCAGCACCTATTTTATTCCACGTTTGCCTACCTAATTCGCGTAATCTTCCTTCCTGATTTTATGTATCCTAACAACATGAACGTTGCGTTCGGTGATGTCAAGTGCCATTTTCGCCAGTGGAGATAATGATTAATGCCATTTCTAGCCAAAAGAGAATCACTAGCCAGCTATGGTGCAGCATAGCAAGACGCTCCTATACCAGCCCGCTATGTAGAGACTAGAGATTATTGCACCCTCAGCCATTTTCGTGAAAAGTTTGGATCCGTCACTTCCAGCCAGGCTCTCAGGTCATAAACTGGAGTAAAGCAAAATGTCAACTCTGAACAGACATGCCACGCAACCGGCCCTCTTTTCAATATTATTAGCTTTCTGCAATCATCGTCTGACCCCATCTCGATCAAACGCAGCATCCGGTTTCTACAGGGGCGTTTGACTGACCGGCCACACAATAACCAAAAACAAAATCAAAGCTTCATGCACACATATGACATAAGTAAGAAACGGATGAAAAAGGCACAACCACGGCACAACTCTGCGCGGCAAACAACGGACAATGTCCCACGTGCAAGATCCCGCGTTTCTTCAGCGGCCTTGAACGGAATGAAAACATTACATTTCTTTTTTGGAGCTATTTGATGACGTCAAAAAATACAATACCCGTTTTAAAGGAAGGGTGCCACCTTTTGGACACAACGCAGTTTTTACAAGATTAGCCTCACATGAACCTAAAAACCGGCTTCACTTACCTATGCTCGAGACGGTCAGCATTGAATCCGCACGTGAAGTTATCATTTCCGAGTTTTGCTGCCAGCATTCGGGCAGGCAAAAATCTTCAGCACTATTTCCTCGTCGTGTTAAGGGTATTTTATAAAACATGAAATCAGCAAAGGTATGTATAAAAGTTATACTTTTGAAGCATGTTTTATCATTTTGAAAGGGTATATTTTTTCTTTATGGTATACACTTAAGTTTAAAAATTTTAATTGGGAAGTTTTTCTAGTAAGTTGCATGAAGGGTGAAGGGTTCCATAGATCTCTTAAGCATTGTAAAGGAAAAACCTTTACTCGACTTATTTGATGTTCTTTTGACGTATCTTACTTAGTTCAACTTACTTACTACAACTTAGTTCAAATCATGTTATCTTCTTCCTTTTTATTTGTTCATCTTTTTGTCTCAGTTGCGCCATCAATGCAAATGGCAGAATGATATGTTGCCATGACAACAGGATATGCCAGCCGTCCTAGCTGCCACATCAAACGACCTTGAGTTGTAGTGGTGATATAAACAACGATCTTTTTTTTGGCCAATGTATTAAATGCAATGTTTCGGTTTTTTGTATATTGTGGACGCGCTAACCACGTCTAAAAATTCAAATAAGTAAAATAGATTCATAGAACAAAAATTTCGGAAGGTGGCACCCTTCCTTTAATGGTCAAAATCGAGACAATTACTCACAAAAATGTTTCCCTTGAACCATTACAAATAAATACTTTTAAATATTTAAATGATATTGTTTTTTTCAAACAAATCAATATTATTTGCTTACTTAAACGTCATATACAATGCTGAGATCACTACGGGGCTGCCTTAGAGTGTAGCTGCACTGGCAACCTTTAGGCTAGACTCCAGGGGTCATTATACCAGAACAACATGATTCTACCAGCCAGTAGTTCATTTTTCTACTAGATTGGTGCTACGCTCAGCATTTAGGTGCCAGATTCAGGAAAAAGAGTAAGGCGTACCGATGAATAGGTGCCAGAAACAGCTAATTAAGGTCATTTTCCATGATTGGTGCTGGTATCCACCAAATAGGTGCTGAGGACCAATTTTGGGGCGAGTCAGCTTTTAGGTGCCAGAAATAGCTTTTCTGGGACGCAATTAAATGGCGTCCTTAATCAAGTTCGTGATTACCTCCCCGTAGTTTGCCCAACTGATTTCATCTTTTTTCCAAGAGGCTAAATCAGTAGGTGGAACTATGGTCATTAGTACCCAAATATAGGAACGTTTCCATTTTTGGGAACGGATTTCCCAAATATGGGAACGGGCGTTCCCATTTATGAGAACGGAAGGTAATTTTTCGGCCCTACGCCCACTAAAACTCATAAGTGCACCACGTCTCAAAAAAGTGCACGCTAATTTAAGCATCTACTGAATCTCTATAAAATTATCTTTAATCTGACCGTTGAACAAGGAAATTGACCGTCGAATGATATTTTTAATGATTTTTTGAAATGACGGAATGGTGAAAACATGGGTTATACTACATTTAACATGCAATTTTAAGGAAAATGAAGCGTTTTTACATTTTGAGGTCAAGTATAATAATTTTCGCCTGGTTATGAAGTTTCATACTAGCGACACCAGATGCTGACATATGCAAGCGAACACGCGGACAGTCCCGAGGTAATATTGTTGACTTTTGGTGTCGGGGCGCACGACCGCGTGGAACGTCAGTGATTTTACCGAACTACTGTTGTAAACTCAGTTTCAGTGGTTTAAAATTATTCAGCTGTATTTTATCAGCCCGGAAAGACATATTTTATTTAGATGCTAGCTGTTTAGCGTTGTTTTATAAGGAGCGTCATGAGCGTGGTTTTTGTCTTCCGTGTTTCTAAGCATGATCGTTTTGGGGGATTTCTCTTATATAGGTCGCTCTGTGTGGCTTATTTCTAATTTTTATGCTGATTTTGATCATTCCTCGTGCCCATCCTACCAGGCCTTTTGCCACTTACACTCATTAAGAAAGGAAAAAACTAGATTTTCATTGGGACTAGGTGTTTTGAGGGTGTAACATATTCAGCGTTCCCATTTTTGGATACTTCCTTGTGCTCGTCAACTATCGGTGATAAACAGACAGGTGCTTGACATGTCTCCACCCTCGGCGCGGACGGTGGATATAGGTATGGAAGACCTTGTTGAACATCGCTGAGCGTTGTGAATTACGTAATCCTGCAGAGGGGGGCGTGCCCGCTGCGAGATCGACGGGAATAAAAGCGCAGAAGACCGGGCGAAGCATGCGACGGTCTTTCCGGAAAGGTCATCTGATGATTGTTGTGTTAACAATGATTTGCGGCGTTGGACGTGATGCTTGTTACTGAAAAGAGCCCCTGAAAGGCGTCGGTGAAATCGTTCCCAATATTGGGTACGCCGTTCCCATAATAAGGAACGCTTGCAGCGCCAGTGTACGAGAGCGTTCCCAAATTTGGACTCGCGGCCCGGATGATGGACTGCTTAATTAGAAATAGGGGAACGAGTTGAAACTACGATGGGCCTTACAATATCAAACTCTTTCCCAACAATATTGAGACAAATATCAGGCGGTTCACGATCGTTTTATATTTTTTGGACGTCATTTAACGGCTCTTTTTCTTGTTTTAAATAATGTCTACATGGCGTTCCCATATTTGGGTTTATCGTTCCCAAACATGGGAACGAAAATGCGTTCCCGAAAATGGGTACGCTTGACCATAGTTCCGCCTACTGAAATAGTGTTTGTTGCAGAAGCTTATCAGTGCTGACCAATCATATTACGTAGGTAGATAGTGAAAAGCAAACTAAACAAACTAAACGCTGATTGGCTGAGCTTGGCATCTGCGGTAGATGGCTGCATTCATGACATTCTTCTACAAGGCTCCGCAGTTCTGCATAAGGCATTCTTTTTGGATCCAGAAATAAAATATCTGCCTAGGGAGATTGCTGGGCCATAAAAGCTCCTGATTTTGCTAGTCTCAGTTCAAGCTACAAATTTGATATTCCAGCTCAAAACCCCATGTTAAAAGTGGTATATTTCCTTTAAACAAGCTGGAGTAACAATTGCCTCAAGCACACTGCAGAAAAACGCGTTATTGGATTTAGATTAAGCCATATGTTCAGGAAAAATAAATTGATGTATAAAATTGTCAAAACAGTCACTTGTTTCTAAAAAGTTCAGTAGATGTCACAGCATGGTGCAAAAAGGAGAACCACCCATCATATGCTGTAGATGCTGTAGATTGTGCTGTAGATTGAGATTACCACAATTGGTAACAAAACCAGCCAAATTTTACCTAGCCTATCTTAACCTGACTGAACCCAACAACCCAAGCTCACCTAAGCTAACCTTAGGTACCCAACCTTTCCTTGAGTTATCACTGTGGATAAAATTAACATGTAATTTATGTGATGTTTGCTCTTGCTTGACTTGTTGACCAAATGCTAGGAGTTTGTATTCATGCTGTTGTGTCTTGGTAGGTAGGTACCATCATACCATTGCATAAGGGGTATTGTGCCAAGCTTATTTGTTAACATGCAGTTTTCCTGTTATCAGTTATGCTAATGATGGAGTGTTGTGGTTTGTAGCTAATTAAGTGTTTGCATTTCAGCATAGTTATTCAGCAGTTGTGACCAAGTGCAATACCTTATAACATGGGCAGTAATGTCTCTAAGAAGAGGAGAAAGTCTTCACTCTCTGACAGTGAAGCCCGTGCGAAGCTGCAGAGGAAGATATGTGTGGTAAATATGCCTGCTTGGGTCTTGAACTTGCTTTGTGCATTGTTTATATAAGTTGTTTACTTGCAAATGCCTTCATCTAATATTTGAACTGATTCATTAAGTGTTTTTCCCCTGTCCAGGTGAGACATATCTTCCATGAGAGTGCTCAGAGGGTATCACCTACTTCTAGATAAGATCAGAGGAATGAATGATGGGTGTAGTATTATACCCCAGCTCCCACAGTCCATATCACACAAATGTAACTCCCACTGCCACCCACCACAGGCCGATGAGACTCCTGAGCCCGTCTACGATCTCTCCACATGCCTGATGCGCAATGTGCCATCAGGAACCTATGCAAAATGCAAGGTGCTCAGAAAACAGCAGCTTCTCTTGCAGGTAAGCTAACCACATCTGAGAACTTGTCCATGGGTGCAATGTCGTCTTTGTAGCCACTGAAAATGACATAACGATCACAGGACACATCTTGTGCACATCTTATAAAAGCTAGTCTTTAGCATTTGCTATCATTACGATCCTGTATTCCCTTTCCAGGACAACCTGCTGACATCGCTGGAGGGCGGCGGGCAGCTGGCGGATCTCGTCCTGCTGCAGGTCCTGCGTCTGGACAACAACTGCCTCAGCGTGCTGTCGCCCGGAATCGCGTCACTGGGCAGACTCCAGGTGGGCATGTCACTCAGCCAGAGATGAGGTCTGCTTTTCAGATCAACAGGGCGATAAAATCGAGCTGATTGGCTTTTCTTGTGATGGGCAAGGCTAGGATCCACTGATTATCATACCTATCATCGTTTCATCGATTATCGCGGAACATCGATCTTTAAATCAAGGGACGTCACGATAGGTTATCCCATCCATTGGCATCATCACCTAACTAGCACTGCTCGACTTCTCAGGTGCTGAACCTGTCGAACAACTCCCTGAAGCACCTGCCGCCGGCGCTGGGTCAGCTGCAGCAGCTGCGACAGCTCATCTGTCACGATAACGCTCTGCGCGGGGTGCCGGAGGCGGTCGGCCAGCTGCCGCTACTCACAGCGCTTGACCTGAGGAAGAACCAGCTGGAGACACTGCCGGCGCTGCGGAACATAGCGTGAGTTGTCCGGGTTGTCATGTAATGTTTGAGGGCGGAGACTGTGCCGTGAATACGTGAATGGTCTGGGTTGGTAAAGGTGGGAACTATTTTGGGTGTCTCAAGGTGGAGACAACTGAATACTGAAATGATTTTGCGACCGAGGGCGTGGCACAGGTATTTAGACGATGGCGTAACGGGATTTTATTATGTTGAGCGATGAACTGAGGTACCTGGCGACTTTCTGTATGTGTTTGACGATGTTCAAAGCTGGAATATAGCGCTGCCCAGGGGGTTCGTTTGTTGTTACTTGTTTGTGTTAAATACGTGTCTGTTTATTACAGTCGCATGTCCGAGCTGCACGTGGAGGACAACGAGTCACTGACGTCTCCCCCGCCGGAGGTGGTGTCCCAGGGCTCAGACGCAGTCATCGAGTTCCTCTGCAAAGGTGGGTACGTGGTCGGCTGGAGGGGATACTACCGACAATGTTTGCTATTGTTTTACTCATCCCAGTAATTGACGGATAAGAAAACGTAACCTGTTTTTATCGAATTGTGAAATGCGTCTTGAATTTAGTGAGTATTTTTTTTGTGATGCAGTCGAAATTAATGCGTCGATCGTCGATATCATGACCAACATCCTGCTTTTGTAGCGTGATTTTCTAGCATGCATCATATAATATCACACAATCACCGTGGGAACGAGGTCTGACCATGTTACCATACACGAGAGCCCGCTCAGCTGACCGGCCGTTCGGTCTCGTCTCTCCTATCCAGAGGCGGGTGTGGAGCACACGGGTCCGGTGGACGACGACACTGCCGCCAGTCTGCCGCCGACCAACTCACAGTCCTATACAGATGGCATGGACGGTCTGGAGGTGAGTGTAATGGTGAGATAGATCAGCTCAAAGTCTTACACGGACGGCCTGGACGGTCTGGAAGTGAGTGTAATGGTGTAATGGAGTCGGTGGAGTCCATCCCATCAGCTCATGGGCTCATACAGAATATGGTCCGGAGACCGAAGGTGAGTTAAAAGGTGAGCTGGAGTCTGTGCGGCCAGCCCACGGTCTTCTACAGACGGCCTGAACGGTCTGAGGCGAGTTTAAAGGTGAGACAGAGTCTGTACCGCCTGAGATCTGACAGGTCTGATAAGGTGAATATATAAACCCGTAAACAATTCTTAGCACTTCTTCGGATTTATCCGTCACCAAGATGAAAAGTTGCAAACTAACACCTCCTAGGGAAATCTTGCGTCGCGTGAACCGGTTAGCACTGCATGTGACTAACTTGTTGAGCACAGCTGCACTGTGACAGGCCGGACAGGCGGCTTTAGCTCTGCTGCCTGGGCGATGGAACGGGCGCTGGGCATGGCCAAACACCTCGCAATCACGATGTAATGTGATGTTTGTTATAACACCGGGGGTTTGTCACGTAGTGTCTGCACGCACCACGAATGAGCAAGGCTCAGCTGTGAAGCTGTATCAGCGTCAGATGCACAGTGTGATTGTGAATATTGTGTGAGTTGTACTGTTGGATCAATGGGCCGTGCTTGGCATTGGTCAGGAATGTACATGCGTCAGCGTCAGGAACGTCTGTTGTGAAATATCGTGACGCATACTGGATGCACGGGCGCCGGTGACTCGTGAAATCTGAGCGCCCGAAATGGAAATTGTCACGATGCTGGATGCTTATGCATTTGTTGTGTTTTGAGGCAGGAATGCATGGTTTTATGTTTTCTAGATGATAAAGGCCAACCTTTGTGTTTATTTCAGGAGAAGATGAATATCTATGACAAAGTAAAGGTGAGATAAAGTACCGTTTTAGAAAGATTTCTTATTAATCTAATCGTATCGGTCATCAATTTTGTACTTAAAGGGACCCTCCCACCTTCAAAAAAGTTAATGAATTGGCATGAAAGTGATGTCGCTCGGTTCAGAAAGAGCAAAAACGAATATCTACCAAATTTCATCGAAAAATATTCACCAGTTTTCAAGATATTAGACTTTTACTTTTGTTTACTTTTTGGGATCTCCGCTGTTCCTAGCGACTTTATTTGAAAGTGCGGCATTTGTTGCGCGCAAAGCAGCATATACCACCGCGTGCTACAAAACGTTTTAGTCAAACATTTAACGGACGTTCGAAAGCCTGATGACGTCATCAGATTCCCGTAATGGTTAAGAGATAGGGACCACGCTGGTCCCACCCTGCAAGTAAAGGGAAGAAATTTCTTGAACACCATAAAGCTGCGGGGGTTGCGACCAAGATAAATGGTGGTTTCTGAGCCTGGCCGCAAACTTGGCTATCTCAACTCAAAACTAATGTTAAGGTGGGAGGGTCCCTTTAAGTTTCTCTATCATTGAAAAAGGTAGATGTTCTGCAAGGGTGATAAAAGATAAAAACCACTTTACCAACGACGATAAACCTGGCTTTAACGTTACGCCTCGTTTATTTTTTAATCACACCGACTCTGGTGGTCTCTGTTAGGAGAACAAGCGTCTGGAGCTGCTGGCGCTGGAGCGGGAACTGAACGAGTCCATATCGCGCGAGGGACGCCGCATCGGACAACAGGAGGAGTTCAAAAAACAGGTCGGTATAGGACGCTGGCGATCACAGGATCTCGTATAAGACTGTGGGCTGTTGAGATTGAAGATTCAATGAAAATGTTATGCATTTTTTTTTAGGACGAGCCGTGAGTTTGAAGCCGCAAATGCTTCCGACTGTTCCATTCCGACCCTGTGCCGCTGACCCGTCCCCGCCCCCGTGCCGCTGACCCGTCCCCGCCCCGCTGTGCCGCTGACCCCCTCCCCGCCCCGCTCTGCCGCTGACCCCTCCCCGCCCCGTTCAGCTGCTGGGTGAGCTGGTCGAGGAGCAGGCGCGGCTGGACGCGGACGTGGCGCGCGCCGCCCAACAGCGCACCAGAGACCAGCGGCGCATCCTCGAGTCGGTGGCGCAGCTGGAGAGCGAGGCGGACCGCAGCACGGCTGAGGTGGCGGCGGCGGCGGCCCGGCTGCGCGACCCGGCCGCCGTGCTCGCCCGGCTCGAGATGGACCGGAAGGAGCTCGAGCAGCTGGTCACCGTCAGACAGGAGGAGTGCGACGCGCTCCGAAAACACGACGTGAGTGAACGATGGAGACACCGGCTGGAGTTGGGGTAGGGCTGAGGGATGCTTGAGTGGCAGGGAAATGCAAGTGAATGACTGAACGAGTTTACCAACCCGAGACATAAATACGTAAGCTGCCATAAGACTTGTGTCTGTTTCGATCGTACGACTACCTTGTGATGCCTTTAGTGCTCACCTCACTCGCCCGTGTTTGTGTTTCAGGTGATGGACTCGATGGAGAAGATGATGAGAGAGAAAATGGCGATGGAGAACCAGCTGCACGAGTATCAGCAGGGCCGCGACAGGACCATCCGGGAGGCGATCTCACAGTGAGTACCAGCAGGAGACGTTCCCCCAGTGAGTACCAGCTGGGCTGGGACAGGACCATTCAGGAGGCCATCTCACAGTGAGTACCAGCAGGAGACGTTCCCCCAGTGAGTACCAGCAGGGCTGGGACAGGACCATCCAGGAGGCCCTCTGGCAGTGAGTACTATCAGGAGTACCCAGTGAGTACCAGCAGGACCATCTAGGAGGCCCTCTCGCAGTGAGTCGCGAGACCGGGGAGGCACACTCGTGGCTCGTCAGCAGACCCATCTCAGGGCCCTGTTCATGAACCCCGGCGGTCGCTGCGGTCAGCCGGGTCGTTACGTCACGAAAAGGGGCGGGGCTCATGTAGTATGACAAATGTATGACGTCACCATGCTGCGGCCCCTGCGATCTCTGCGGCCGCAATCCAGCGGCCGCCGAGCCGCAAGAAAACTAATTGCACTGAACTTGGCGCACTGAAGTCAAATTGGCGCAAGCCGTGTTGTCATGGAGACGATTTTGTAAACAAATTAGCTAGCGGTGTACGTCAGTCGTAAACAATTATCGGAAACTATTTCGGCAGCAGACGCTGTTCATGGAACGCTGCTGCGGCCGACTGTGGGTGATGACGTTTCAAAAATGGGCGGGGCTTAGAACCTGCGGCCGGCCGCAGCGACCGCAGACTTCATGAACACTAACAGGGCCCTGATGTTTACCAATATCTGATGATCTCTGATGCTTGCTTTGACACCCGAATAGACTGTAAGGTATCATCTCTAAACAAGCTAAATTAGGAAAGCACAGTGCTAAATAGCTGAAAAAAATTGTGGTGCTCTAATCTAACTTGGGAGTTGAGACATCGTTTTGGCAAACTCAAATCCCTACAGCCAATGTGAAGCTGGCTGCTCGACAGCAAACCTTGGTCCGTCGTAATTTCGCCCGTATATAACCACCGCTCCGCGCGTCCGTCTCGCCAGAGACCAGCGGATGAACGAGCAGCTGGGCCAGCTGCTAGAGGTGAAGGGGTCGGAGCAGGAGGCGCGCATCCAGCAGCTGCTCAAGGACGAGACCTTCCAGCGGCAGGCCTTCTTCAACCTCTACCTCCAACAGGTACGACACGGTCGACTAAACCCGGCCTAAAAGGGAGGATGATGAATATGTAATTGGTCTTCAGTCTTATCCGACTTGAGCTGAGACTAATTCATTTTACTGCGTTCACTGATTCATTTCACTTGCTGCGGTGTCGCGCGTATTTTATATATTTTGGAGCGGTTACAAAAGAAGAAGAAAATAACACAAAAAGCGTCAAATTCCAATTTATCAATGGAGTACCGTTGTTTTTCAGGACTCGAGTCGTCTGCAGATTCTGCACCAGATCTCGGAGGCGGAGGACGCGCTGATGCGACTGACCATGGTGGAGGCCAACCAGCGAGACGCTACCAAAGAGTCCGAGCTGGTCAGTGGCGTAACCTGAGCTGTCATGTCATTGTACGGAAAGGATGGGTCCGGAGTGTTTAATAGGGCTTCATGACATTTTGATTAACGTGGTGAGGATTGGCTATCGTCACTAATTAGATAGCGGTGTATGGTGTACCAGTGTGGTTGGTCGCGTGACACAATTGGCTAAGTGAAACGTCATGAGTCCGTGGGTCTGTCCATACAACATTGTAGCGCTTAACGCGTGTCACTCAGGACAATAGGAATTGCCTGTCTTACTGGTGTAACACTGTTTTGGCATAAGTGCTCCGCAATGCAAACTTGGGATGACATGAACATCGTGCTCCTTATACTAACGAAGAACTGTTGTACGATCTTCTTTTGTTCCCTGAAAGCGTTCCCTGAAAGTCGGTTACAAAGTGCTGCAGTAGCTCACATGCCTTCCCTTCATTTATTGTTTTACCTTCAAAGCTTTCCGACAAATAGCAGTTCACCTTTATGCCCTTTAGCCTGCATGCCTTATTCGACCCTCTTCTGAGATATTACAGATACGCTGACGTTTGCGACCCCTGCTGAATCCCGCTGACCCTTCTGACCCTCAGTCTCGTCTGTCTGAGAAGCGTCACCAGCTGCTGACCCCTCTGACCCTGTCTGACCCCTCTGTGACCTCTGTGACCTCTCTGACCCCTCTTTGACCTCTGTGACCTCTTACCCCCCAGTCTCGTCTCTCTGAGAAGCGTCACCAGCTGCTGACCCCTCTGATCCCTCTGTGACCCCTCTGTGACCTCTGTGACCTCTGACCCCTTTGTGACCCCAGTTTCGTCTCTCTGAGAAGCGTCACCAGCTGCTGATCCTTCTGACCCTTGCTGACCCCGTCTGACCCCTCTGACCTCCAGTCGCGTCTGTCTGAGAAGCGGCACCAGCTGACGACACTGCTGGTTCAGCTGCTGGAGCAGCAGGCCGCCCGGGAGCGCGAGCTGCAGAAGCGGCTGGCCGAACTGGACGAACAGCGGCTCGGAGAGGTCGAACACTACTGGCTCGTGCAGGTACGCGCCGCATGTTATTCTGTATGGTTTGGAGCTCGAATCGTTCCATTTTCCCGAGATGCTCTAGAAATCCGTTTTACCCAACTGCATGGGCTCACGTTTTGGTCAGCAATACCGCGCGGAGACAGATTACCCTTGGCTCATTGCTCACTCTTGCCCGACCCTAGCTGCTGTTTGCGCTGCCCTGACAGTACCCCAGGCTCCAGCCATCAGCGAGTCAGTTATTATATCAGCGTGTAGCTCCATCCCTGCTTTCAGTGCTTTACCTCCCGTTTGACCCTCCCTCCCCGGCTCCGCCGTTTCACCCTACCTCCAGGCGGGAATGAAGGTCTATTGGCTGGTCCAGGTACTCTGTATACTGTCGTCAGTGCGATTGTTTACCTGTTGGATGTTCGGTGTTTCGACTCGCGAGTGTATGGGTGTTAGAATTAGCGTCATTACCCAGCCTGAAAGCTGACACGACGCGTCTAGGTAGATGTGAACAATGTGTTGTCACTCATAGCAGTGCGACTTGGTTATTGGTGTATCGGCTGTGTACACAAAATATGTTGAATGTTGATATCAGACGAACAGACTAGGACAGGTACCCGCCTGATCACCTCAATATCATCCATGATTGTTTCGAGTTTATTCAGTTAGCTTTGCGAAGCAGTTGTTACACGAGCATGAGCACAATTACGATAAAGGTAAGTGAGACGTTTGATGTAATGTTTAGCCAATCGATGGTTCGCTGCATTGATTTATTTTCATATTTTGTCTCGGGTGGGGCGGGACGTTAGAGCTAAGCATTTAGCTGGGGCGTGACAGTTGACGACGGAAAAGTCTAAAACCTGCCAAAGGAGCTCTTGCCAACCGCTGTTGAATCCTGACTGATTTACCCGGTGCGTCAAGCATGCAGTAAATAAGAAGTTGACTATTTTACTCTGTCTTGTTCACAGTACCAGCGCCTTTTGGACAGTAAACCTGAGCGCATCAGGTGAGCCATTACTACTGCGATACCTTACGTGCATTTACATTACTTTACTGCGCCTTGCGTCATTTCTTGTGATTCGAACCTTTGAAGAGGCCCACACCGCCATACTGAACACACGACCTTGAATTCTTCGCTTTTTAGTCTCCTATTACATCAAAGTTACTCGTATTTATCACCCATAATCATCTAACCTTTCCATGACTTGATTCAGGCGTCTGGAGGACAAGCTGGAGCCGCCGCTGAAGAAGCTGCTGCAGTCGGCCGGCGCCGAGGAGTACCTGACCATGTTCGCCAACAGCGGCCTGACGCTGAAGCAGGTGCTCTACATGGACGACACAGACCTGCTGGAGGTGAGAGGGGACGCGGCGTATCGGCGGGGTGGGAGGCAGCTATCTATGGGGATTGTCTAGTGTCTACTCAAGTCTGATGCCCAAACTCCAACCACATGGTCCGTCCTCCCTGTTTATATTTGATCCTGCAATGATCGTAGATCGGGCCTACCCATGCTGAACGATCAGCTGAATTGTAGTAAATAAACTAATTCATGGATCACATGACATCATGCGTGAATAGCTACACAACTACATGAAAGATGTTACCTATGTTATCGATGACCGAATTTATGCCCCTCCCCTGACCGCCTGACCCCTGCCGTTTCAGCTGGGTGTGACGGACCTGTCGACTCGGGCGGCCATCCTACGGCAGACCGAGCTGGTGAGGGAGGAGGGCGCGGACATGAGTCCCCGCCCGCCGTCCGCGCCGGCCGGGGACCTGCAGCCCGCGCCGGCCGCCGCCGGGGGGACAGAGATGGAGCCCGAGGATAAACTGGCAGAGGAGGGGGAGGCGGAGCGGCCGGCGCCCTCCGCGCCAGAGCCAGAGGAGGTGAGGGGCAGAGGGCGGAGTGGGTCTAGCGGAGGGATGAAGTGTGAGGGATGGGATACAGAGCTGCATGAAGGGGTTATTGGTCTATTCGACTCATTGTCGTTTTTCTTACGGATGGTTGTTACAAGTCCATCTTGCTGATGATTGCTACATGTTCATCGTGTCTTTGCTGTTTTTTTCGTGATATCTTTGTTATGTAACTTCTATCGATCCATTTTATTGCAGGGTGCCATGGCTGGACCTTCATCCATGCCACGGACAACGCACACAGAGCTAGAGTGTGTCGTCTGTATGGACCACAAGGTAAGATCGTTCGGTCATGGGCCACTGCGCTCACTTCAGCCGCATAAACTGTCTGTGATGTTTCACTTTTAGAAAGAATGATGCCCGTGCCGTCAAATTGCCTACGGAGTGGACATAATTTTATGCGCTGTTGCCGCTTGAGGTAATATCAACTGCTTGTCTTTCGTCTGAGGTTCTAACCATCCCTTCCCTGTCTCTCTCTTCGCAGACGGAGGTGATATTCCTCAACTGCGGCCACCTGTGCGTGTGTCGCCAGTGCGCCGGGCCGCTGAGCAGCTGTCCCATGTGTCGCCAGGTGGTGATGCAGAAACTGGTCATCACCACCGTCCTCTGACGGACAGGGGACGAGCCGGCCGGCGGCCAGGGGTAGGCAGGGCGGGGACTGAGCGACCGGGGGCTATACTGGGGGGCTAGACAGCTGTTCCAGTCAGCATTACAGGGATGGCAGGATGAAAAGCGGATTATTTGCATTGGCCAGGACCTTGCTTTTGAGCCGAGTCTCGGTAAAGCTGGGCACCCATAAAACAATGTATGTATGTATTGACGATCAAGAGCAATCCACAATCGGCGTGGCGAGCAACGCCGTTCTTGTCAAGAGGAATGATAATTTAGAGAAAGTCAAGGAGTTAACCTCAACATAGTTGAGATTATTGCTACAGACAGTCACAGATGGATGCCAGTTGATAAATGGCCGTTATCAGTCAATAGGCGTCACAGTTTTGACTGAATACTTTTTGTAATCGTTTCTGTGTGGTGTATGCAGTGATCTAAGTCAGGGACTATGGAAGGACTGTAGGTCCAGGAAGCCTGAACCAGACCGATTGCCGAGTTTGACTCGTTTGAGTTCAGGCTCATTTACTATTCAATACTCCGTAGTCCTTATAATGTTGAATTTGTTTTACTGTAATAGTGAACGGTATAATGTTACCCCTAGCTAACAGTACGATAGAATACCAAGCGTTAAACGCAATGGCATAATTCCGTAACTAAATAAACTGTGAATGTTGCCGTTCCCTGTGATACCAAACTAATCGATAAAGATGATAATTATTGTTATTATTTTGATTTAGCGTTAGGTGCGCGATTTTGAAAGTGACATTGAACACCCTATAGCGGCACGTGTTATATTATTGCTTTTTTAACTTTACCACAAGCTTGGCACACCCGGCTTTTCCAAGTCCAGAGGAATTGAAAGATTTCCTCCTGTGTTGAATCATATTCTAGTCGCGAATGTATAGAGAAACTGGCATTGTAAACAACTATCCGCATGGTGTGGCCACGGGGACCATTGCTAAACGGGGCGCGATGCATGAGAGGGGATTGGTATCTGGGAAAATGTGTACCAATGCCGGTACTCGGTAGTTTTATTAGTGAGCAGTTACGATGCCAGTCATAGTCGAGTAGTCTTTGTCTAGGGATTCTGAATGCATATAGCTGCTGTTGTGGTTGGCGCGTTTGCATGCCTGGCTGCTGCTGAACTATGTATAGTAGCTTAGGCAACAGTGAAGAAATCCGGCGGGGGCTGCATGAAATATACAATATTGCATGCATGAATTCATAGGTATTTATCTTATCCGCACTTTGCACCTAGCTAGGTAAATGCACAGTGCACATGCAGCATGCACGTCTGTTGCATTGTCGACGTCTTTTGCACGCGATTCGCCGGGATCAGTAGCCTGTGACCGAAGGTGCAGCTGAGGTCACTTTCATTGTCATCGCCGTTTCCACTGGGTTGGTCTCCCTTTCTGTGAACGGGGACTGGCGCTGCCCACGGTGCCTATTTTTCTACGACTGATTCGACCGATCAATGCATGGGCAGGTAGTAGCAGAGTGTTCCATATACTCTGGTAGCAGTAGCGTAGTCTATTCAGTCCACTTACCGCCTTATCTGTGTCGTAGGTCCAGAATTAAGTGATGATGGTGTGCCCTGAACCGAATGGAAGCCAGTATCTTTGCTTGCCAGTAGCGGATATATTCAATATTCATCCCTGCGTGCTCATAAACTCAGCTCCCCTAATCCAACCACAATAGCACGCAAGACTGCGTGATAGCGCCGATGAACAGAACAGCTGTTAGGAGTTAGGTCCCGCCTCTTCTCATCGGCTAAAGCGTATGGGTTAGCTTTTCGCGTTTTTCGCGGACATCTGACGATAAACTTTGTTGCTATCATGTAGCAGCAGCTGCCATACCACTCAGCTATTTGCCATATCTCATAATGGTGAGGTGGATACGCGTGTTGTGCAGATTTGACTAACTTTGTTGGGTGTTTCACATCGATTTCCACACAGTGCAATTTGGCGTGTGCCATAGTCGTGCTCAGCACGTGAGGAGCGATCGCTGCCCGCCCGTTCACTGCTGGGTGGTGATTTAGTGCTGGTGTTTACCGCCCGCCCGCCCGCGTGGTGCCGCGCGGCTGGTGTTGATTTGAACTGTCGTGGGCGCGCGGTGGCACCTGGTGATCACGTCTGGGACGCCGGGGGTTCAGTGGCGGTAACTTGTATCGAGTGTTGTGCTCCGAGTGCAGCGCAGTGACCTTGTGCTCGCTACTCGCTCGCTGCCTGCGACTGGTACTGCGGTACTATGTGTGGTAAGTGCTGCGCGGTACGAGGGGTACCGAGTACTCTGTACTATGTGTCGTGGTACTCATGCTGCAGTACCGAGTGCTCCGTACCGGTTCCACCGCTGACGGTACGTCGTCCGGTATGTTACCGAGTGTTCCGACATTGCTGCAGATTCAATACACGGCACTTCGCCACGTACTCTCATTCTCGAGACTTTCGGACCTCAGAACGACGATTGGCAGTGTGCCCTTTTACCCTATAACATTGATATTCCGAATCCCAGCCACTTCACTGCACTTCTAACTGCTGTCGCCGAGCCCAAACGCCGCGGTCTCTGGCAAGCAGGACATGTATTCTGTAGAAACCAGAACACACGGTTCACTGTTCAGCGGGCGGGCGGCGGCGGACTACAGTCAGCATGACGGTGACGTCATATGACGTCATCAATGACGTAATCAGCGCACACGGTCACCTACTCGCGTTATCAATGACGGCAGAGCACTCTGTCGCTACAAAGGCACATCAATATACAGCAAACAATCGGCAAGAGACGCTTCACATTGGTAAAATGAGATCATACAAATATCGCCGGTCACATACCAGACGAACACTTGGGTTGGGGACGGGGGGGGGGGAGCGGGGGATCACTGCCGTAATTGGTGAGAACAGCGCGGTAGTTAGTGAACACTTTAGGGAAACTGAGAGGGCTGGGGCCGGTGTTAGCTGTACTCTGGGATATCCCAGAGTACCTCAGGGGACTGGGACAGGAGGTACCCACTGGGCACGTTACAGCTGGATGGCGGGGGCGTCACATAACGCCCGCGTGACGTAACGTAACGTCAGTATGACGTCACTGTGTGACGTCAGCAGTCTTCAGCCAGCGAACTCGGCGGCAGCGAACGGCAGCTTATTGCGGACAATCTCATGGCCTGATCTGCGATTGGCATCGGAAACGCTGCACAAAAAACAAGCGACCGGACGAACACAGCAGCAGCGGCGGCGGCACGGACGCACGTACAAAACGCACACCACTCGCGGCCTCGCACAACGCACGCTCTCTCGCACTCACGGCTCGCGTTCCTCTCACCACGAGAGAGGTCTCTAGCATCCACCTCTCGCTACTTTGAGCATTGCTGCTAAGGACTAGAATATCGTACCCCGTCGAGCCGTGCCGGGGGCCCGCGCCCGCTCGTTGCCTGCCGCTCCTCGTATGCCGTCTATCTCTCCCTAACGTCTCCCGTCTCTCCCCGGGTGTCTCCCGTCTCTCCTGGCGTCTCTCCCTGTCTCCGGTCTCTTCTCTCACCACCAGGCGTGGTCGGCCGGCCGGCCGGGCCACGCCGGGGCCATGGCGTCGGGTCATTCGAAGCTCATCAGGTTGGCGGGCAGCGGCTGGACGCGCACGCCGACCGCCGCGTCGTGCAGGTGTTTGACCCACTCCTCGGCCTTGGACTGGCTGCACGCCCGGAATTTGTACATGTCGCCTGGAGAGATAGAGAGGGAGAGAGAGGTTAAAATTGTGGCACGCTGTCGGGTTTGTTCACGAGTGGTGATCCAACGAACCGACTAATGAACTGTGTGATTGAATCGCTTGAAGCCAATCCAATAAGGGAGGCAGGTGTTCATTGGAGACAACACTGGCGGTCAGTGGGGACAGCAAAGTACGTTGTATAGTACGCCAACTTGGAACCCCGGGGACTTCACCACGGAATGATCGAAAAATCGAGCCGCCTTACCCCGGATCACCTTAACTGACACTGGATGTTTGTGTGGGTGATAATGAAATGACAGCCTGCGGTGTAGCGCCAAACGAGCAAATGAAGAGGATGGGGAAGATATAACAGAAATAGACGAAAGGCAATAACGAGGCACGATCAATATTGACAGAGTCGTAAAACACAAACAGTCAGTCAGTCAGTCAGACAGACAGACAGACAGACAGACAGACAGTGTCTCAAAATTGTGTTTCGGCTTGGGTGTCAGAGGGAAAATTCCTCTCCCAAAAGGGGGATAAGAGTGGAAAATTCACCAGTCAAATAGGGCCCAAAAAGAGTGGAAAATTCACCAGTCAAATAGGGCCCAAAAAGAGTGGAAAAGAGATTAATGGCATACATTTCTATATAATGAGGTAAAATGTAATATGTAAAATGCCCAATGCAAATGCTTATTCTCAGTAAAGCTGGGAGTGGAAAATCGCTCTTAAATATTAGAGATGAGAGTGCAAAATGATTTTTATTTGGATGTCGTTTCCCACCCAAATCGAAATATTTTGGGACACTGCAGACAGACAGACAGACAGACAGACAGACAGACATACAGTTGACTGACCGGAGGCGGGGTTCTGCAGGATGAACGTGTCCCTCAGCCACGAGACGTCGTCCACGTGAACAGACCAGTGGCGCACCGTGTGCATCTTGCTCGGCTCCGACTTGAAGTCGCTGCGCTCCGTACTGGCGGCATACAGGGGAGTGGAAGGTCAGAATGCCGCCCGATGCCACGAAACTCACGGGCCCAATAAGCGAAGCGACACTCCCATTTACTCCTACTGGACGAATCCCTCTAGTGCGAAATAGTGCGTGGCATTCGCAGACGCCAAAATATATTGCATGAGCTTGGGACCAGGGGCACCGAGAAAACGCGAGAAGCCACGCCTCCACGCGCTACAAAGAGTTCGTTTTATGGTTTTACAATCAACTCGCGACCATTTCCTACAAACCCCCACCATAGCTCTCAGAGTTGGGATGGAAGACACTCGCTCACCATTTGATCTTTTTGCAGCTGAAGTAGACTAGACTCTGGGACCAGAGCTGTACCCAGTATCGCTGCCAGGTGGCCACCGGCGGCCGGCGGCCCGATTTGAGCAGCGTTTTGCGCCGCAGGCAGCCCTGCAGGGTGCAGACGGCGCCTGCCTCCATCCCCAGACACCCATCCTCCTCACTGTCCCTGGAAACAGGTCACAGGGTCGGGTCAGGTCATCAGAGCTCCTCGTATATGTAGCCGTGCTGAGCCACCAACGATCAGTTTTTTTTTTCCGTAGTGTAGTGGTTTTTGTAGTGTAGTCCGTAGCGTCATACCTCCTTGTATATGAAGCTGTGCTGAGCCGCCAAACATCAGTGGTTTCCGTAGTGTAGTGGTTATCACGTCCGCTTCACACGCGGAAGGTCCCCGGTTCGATCCCGGGCGGGAACAATGTCTTGCACCCAGCTGAGGTGGGCGCAAACAAGGAGTTTTTGACACTTCGTAGAGCACATTTCAGCCCCTCTGACTCTCTTACCCCCTCAACATAAGTTAGTAACTGAAGTAGAGTAACATAACTGAAGCGAAAGAAGAAAATAAAAAGAGCAGGTGCATGCTTGGGTCGCAAACAACTATGGAAGAGCCCATTACCCCACCCACTTTCAGTCCCCACCGGACGCCTCGATCACCCACTCACAGCATGGGCAGCGTGGCTGTGACGTCGTCGTCTGCGGTACCTCCGGCGCCGCCGTCGGGCAGGTAGAGCGAGGTGCACATGCCGTCAGCGGTGCTGAGCACGGAGTCGTCCAGCAGGTGTCGCTGGGCGCGCGCAGTGCTGTCCGGCAGACTGTCGCCACCGGCCACCGGCCACAGTTAGTGCGTGAGGGAGGTGACAGGGGGTGCTGGGAGAGAGTGGGAGGTGGGGTAGAGGGGAGGGGAGTCGTGGGTTGTTCGCCTTGGGTTGTTCGATATTTGAGGAGAGACCTGGCTATAGATGGATGTTTTTTTAATCAATCGAATATAGATAAAAAGTAAAATGCTTGAGATATGACAGCGGAAACGGCGATTCTGGCTGACGGATCATTTAAGAAAAGTGGCATTTTGGGTTTGGGAAGGACATGAGTGGAAACATGGTGGGGAGTAAGTCACACAGGTAAAATCAAAATTGAAACTGCAAACATTTCTGAAACATTTACGGAACCAGAGCAAGAGCTCGCAAGTCAACATGCGTAGATGCAATGCAAACTTTAACGTCAAGAACAACATCAACTGCAAATAAAAACCAAACAAATAAACGAACACAAAGATCGGAAATAGCGTGGGTGCGTGCAGCGAATAATGTACAAAGCCCATGTACACATAGTTGTTGATCTTTCATCGATATGTCTGCTTAATTACAAAACAGCGCTATTTGTTCAGATTTTCCATCCATGCCGGATAGAGGTCGCCACGTGCATTTCAGTCAGTCCCTTGGCATATCTGCATAACTACCAACACCAACATCGCAGCGAAACGTCTCCCAGCCACGCAACGCATCATAAAAATAACGTAACGCAGCGTAACAACGGAAAGGATCGCGCTAGCAGTACAAAATAAAATCAGTCGGAGCCAGCCTGCCTCTAATCCGCAAACCAAGCTTCTCTCGGGTACCACCCGAGCACTGCACGCCGTTTTCCTCTACGCAGCCCGCCACCGCGGCCACTGGCGGGTTCCTGGCATGGCACAGAGTCGAGCAGAGGGGCGGAGGGGGGCAGAGGGGCGGAGCGGGCAGAGCTGAGGGGCGCCACTCACCCGGGACCCATGTGGTGGTTTTGGCCGCACACGCAGGCCGGAAGGTGGCGCGAACTGTTCCGAGGGAGACTCATACTGCGCGCTCTGCGTCGGACGGCGGACCGGTGTTACACACGGGTTACACACGGAACACGGGTTAGAGTACACACGGGGCACAGTTAGAGGACACATGGAGCACGGGTTAGACGGCACACGGGGCATGGGAGACGTGGGGATTACTGCCGCACATGTTTCAGGAAACAAGACACGGGAGACACGGGGCATGGGACAGTGGACAGTCGGAGTTGTGGAGCAGGGCAGTCCGGGGTTACGGCACAGGGGACACGAGAGTTGCAGCACTAAGGACACGAGAAGTACGGCACAGATTACGAGGGCTAGGGAAGTTCTACAGTTACAGAAACATACGGTTAGGAAAATGGTACTTTTGGACGGTCCGAACAGACGCTACAGCCGACACACAATTTAGTCATCCGATCTCACCGACACAGTTTCCGATCAAAAAAGGTTTATAATCTCCCACCAAACACACGGCCTCGAACGAGCTGCAGAAAATCCCCTAGCATCCCCAACAGCTCACTCTATGCACCCCCGGTGTCACAGTGAATCATACGCCGTCCGACCGTTTACAACCGCCGCCGTTTGTGAGGTCGCCGCTGCTGGAGGCGCCCCTCTCGTCACCACAGTAGGCACGCACGGATAACCGGTGGCCACGACTGTTGGCTACGTGTTTATTCCACCCCACCCACTCACACAAAGGGTGACTTCGGATAACAATAGACGGCGTGACTGGAGCCGAGTGAACCGGAAATGTCAGGCGGGCAAAACCGCTGGAGACCGAACGGCGAGTGCTGACTACCGGACATGTAAGTCTGTATGTTTCGAAGTAAAAGTCCACTGATCTTGGCATCTCAATATAGATGCATTACTTATCGATGCTGGGGTCGGGATGCGGCGCTCTGATCACTGCACTTGCTGGGTCAACGCAACAAACTACAACATCATTTAAGTCTTACGCACTTGGCCTACGCTTCAACTTTTGTTCTTACAATGCACCGTCAATCTTCTCTCAAAGGCAAGAAGCTCCACCGATTATATTGTTCGAGAGATATTCAGACATCCTCTCAGGCCAGTCACCGTTCTTCGATGACTCGTGGTCCCCAGCTCACGGGCGACTTCCGGTCCTCATATCAGCCTCCCATTCACGCTCTGACACCCAGGTGCGAGGCGACACGGCAGTGCTGGCTGGTGCAGCTCCCAGTCGGTTACAACAGTGACTGTTCCCAGTGGAATGACTCAGGTGGAATGCACATACAACTCAGTCCAGATAGCGGCCGGTCATGCCTCGAATTCCTCACATTAGATTCTTGGCATTCGCAAAAAGGGATTTGTCTAATTTTTCTCACGTCGTGCATTTGCACAAGATGCAAATTGCATACTGCTCATTGGAGGCTTCGGTGCGGTGGTGAAGACTGTGCAACAGCAATAACATCTGTGCCACTCATTACAAACCTGCCCGTGTCCAGGGCTAGATACTGCAAATCGCGGCCTATGCTGCAGGCAGCGAGATTAAGATGCGCGGGTTACGGGTCATATACTGATTAGCTGCCTTCAGTCAGCTCCATAGTGTACATTGGATTTGGTATGCAGCATTCAGTTGTTGAAAATGGCAATCCCGCTTGAACCAGCATTTCTGAATGTTTCACAAACTTATACATACAAGACACGCATAAAACAACACAACGACCAGCACACCGCGTCAGCACGTCCTGGCCTTTGGCGTCGTCACCACCTATCTTTAAATCTTCATCACTAAGTCACCACACTTGAACACCTCAATCACCTTCGCACCTATCTCACCTATCTCACCCATAACACACCTGTCAGACTCACCCCTGTCCCTGCCCCTCCTGTACTCACTTCACCCCGAGACTGCAGGCCCTGCGGTGTGCCTGGACGGCGGTCTGCCGGGCCGGAGAGGGCGGTACGGCCGCCGCCACCCGGTCCCTCTCCTCAGCCGACTCGCGGCTCGAGCTGGACTGGGCCGGCGACTGGGCCTGCGGCTCCAGCTGCAGGGAAAGTCTGTGGAGAGTAACACGGAGTGTCAGTGAGACACTGGGGACTGGGCCTGCGGCTCCAGCTGCAGAGAGAGAGAGTCTAAGGAGAGTACACAGAGTGAGGGTTGTTCCATTTGTGTAATAACATGTCTAATACTATGAGGCCAGAAACAAATGATTTAAAATTCACTTTTAGACAAACTTTCAACTAATGCGCTATTCATGTGTGTACGTTCGTGCGCGAAAATACTGCTGGTAGACGGACGTATGCTGATGCAACACATCGCGTTCGGTGAAACGAGCAGGAAATGTCGGACCGATGGTATCACAGCGCTTTGTGGCTGGCAGCCGAACTGTAACACTTTAATGACGTCTGCTCGACGTGCAAACCTCCCGAAACATATTCTACGGCTCAACACCTATAGAGACGAGTAGAGTATATTTCAAAACAACGCACGACTAACGGTCAACAACATATGAAATAACCTCTAATGACGCATTGCAGCTAGCCAACATATAATCTTACAACGCCACGAAATATCTCAACATTTTAAGCAAACAAAACTTTCCAACAGCCTCTATCGCCGTTCCCACTCACTTGTAGTTGTCCTCGTCGATGAACTTCTGCAGTTCGTCGATGTAGCGTATGGAGGCCAGGTAGCTGCTGACACGGGGGTTGAACGGCAGGTGCGAAAAGTCCGACTGCTGGAACTCGGAGATCGTGCGCAGGATGTTGTTCATCAGGTTCCGCCGCTGAGACGACTCGAGTCCGCCCGACTGCGGGTGCGCCATGTCCACGTACACCAGGTCGGTCAGGTACAGACCTGTGGGGAGAAGGAGGGTGTTATTCTATAAGTGGGAGGACGCCATGTCCACGTACACCAGGTCGGTCAGGTACAAACCTGTGGGGGGAAGGGGGAGGGGTTAGTCTATAACTGGGGGTGATAATACACCAGGTCCGTCAGGTACAGGCCTGTGGATCAGAGAGAAGAGGATAGAAGGCGTCAAACAAACTCAATGCAGTGAGGTGATTGTACGCGATCCAAGTCACGTACAGACCTGCAGGGCCCATCATATATAAAGATGATTATATAAAGAATGATTCTACGTAAAGCTAAAACATATACGGATGAGCTTGATTAGTAATTATGCTCAGTAGCCATATAATCGCCATTCCATGTAATTGAAGCCGAGTCAGGCTCAATTGCGGTATGCGGCACCGCAAGATGGAAATCCACCCATAAAACAGACGCTGGTCCAGAACAACCCACAGGACACACACACTTTGTTTAATGTTTATATAACACACTGTGGCATTTCTGCACGGCGGACCAGCTATGGCGCTGGGTCTTTCCACGCGTCAGCCATTCTGGAAGCCGGCTACGAAATCGTGAGCATGGTTGAAGGCCATAGCATGCGAGGAAGATAAACACGTGAGGAATATTTATGGTGTAGGCTTCGTAGAATAAAAATCATGTTCTGTAACAGCAATGCTTATTGAAAATAAATAGAAGAGACAAAAGTGACGCCATCAAGCAGTCGACTACACTCACTTAGCTAGACCGTAAAATTAAACACTTTTAAGAAGAGTTTTCTGCATTAGAAGTGAGCACTCCTCAGCAAGAGTGCCTTAGCTTTCTCAGTAAATATCATAACAGCCCACATCGGTGCAGCGTCCGTCCATAGTTCACCTTAGCCACATTCCAAGCCACCACGATGCGATCTGCCCTCTGCCTCTCATTCCCAATCCTCTTTCTCGTCTTTCTGAGCCTCCTCACAAAACCCACCTCCCCCGTCCCGACCACCCCCTCTGCCGAACCTCCCACTACCTCCCCGTCCCCACCGATCGGTAACGGCACTCTGCCCTCGGAGACGCAGCCCGGCCTGGAGAACCTGCACTGTTTCCAGTGCACGGGCGAGTCGACCGATCCGGACGACCACTGCACGGACAGCGGCTGGATCTCGATCCCGCGCGGTCAGCGGCTCGACTACCGCTACCTGTGCCCGCGACACATGGACGACTTCTGCATGAAAACCATCGAGCGCTGGGAGAGCACCCGGCCCGGCGTGGCCGACAGGTTCCGCACGCGCAGAGGGTGCAGCGGAAAAACCAGGACCAGGTGAGGGACCGGGGCGGAGGAGAAACCAGAACCAGGTGAGGGGAGCACACAGGAGAAAACCAGGACCAGGTGAGGGGCCACAGAAGGGGAAAACAGGACCAGGTGAGGGGCCACAGCGGAAAAACGATGAACAGTTGTGTGTGTGTGTGGGGGGGGGGGAGACTTACACTTAAACGGTCTTCTTTCTCATGATAATTTATTATGGAATGTGGCGTCATTCTAAGTGCTTACAGACGCCATGCAATATGGCCATTTCGAAACCAGCAAAGAATCTCTGTACTCAGAGCTATTTCAAGGAAACAGACCATCTTACATATAAACCATCGGTACCCACGGCAACAGTCACATTCAAGGCAAAAATCGTCTGTTTATCAATGACATTGGAACTCAAGAATGTCACGTAGATACCTAACCTAACCATGCATCAACTGACGCCACATAATGCAAATACAGATTGGGAATGTGGAATGCGAGTCTGCGACCCAAGGACGGGTCTCTAGGACGCATTTTAGATGTACAGTCCACCGCTAAAGTAATGTGCGGTTTTACCAATCTAAACGGATGGCTTTGACCGGCGATTTTTTAATGCGGGGTGATTGAAGAGAAGACGTCAACAGAAAAAGTTGCAGCTGCAAGGGTGACGATACATATAAGCTACATTCAAATTAAATTGTAGTCTGGGTAATCGTTTGTTTCGGCTTCAGAAGCCGAACAAACCCATGACTGAAGTCGCACATTACTTCTGCTGTGGACTGTACGGTGCCATCTCTTCCTTCAATATCACGTCATGCTGATCTTCTGTGGGACCAAATCAATGCATAAAATCAAACATCGGCAAATTTAGCAAGACCCAGGTGTCATACTCTCTACTCTCATATGACTAGGTACAGATAAAGCGCAACATTACGTTATTCATGAACTTCATATACCGAAAAGCAGCATTCAACAATGTTCCAACGAAATAAAAGTTTAGCATCAAACAAGTCCTGTAAGCGCCATTTCGGGACCATCAATATTGGTGTCGCAGTGCGCGGACTGATTCGACGCCCATCGAGCCATGTGGGAACACATCGCGCCTCTTTGAGGTGGGCTGTAATTAGTAAAAGCCATTAGGTCTGGGATAACCCACTCGTGGGTTCGTTTCTGTGTGGGTTTTCCAAAAGTTCCCAGACTTTTCCAATGCCCAGGAGGAAGCAACAGGATTAGCAATTACACGTTTTCACATCTGAGTTAGAGTTAAAGCAATATTGGGCCAATAAATTCGGAGCCATGATCTGATTCTAAGACAACTTCCTGCATCAACCCACACACCAGAAAACATTGACTTTTGACCTAAAAAAAAAACGTGAACACCTTAGACCCAAAGGTCAAGGCGAGGCATGTTTGGCCACAACATTGATTCAAGAAGGTGGTAATCCCATCAATATCCAGTCTCAGACGAAATCACACTAGTGTTTAGCGATATTTAGTTAACACTACTCGCTGAAACTCATCACACATCAAACGATGCAATCTCTGGAGCGTTCACATCTACAAAAGCCCTCGCGCCCGAAGTCCGCTCGCGATGCCCGGTCATCCAACCCGGCCTGGTACGGGGCGGCACGGGCCACGGGGGCGTCACGTCACTGTTTGGGCACGGTATAAACACCCCACTGACCGGCCGTGACGGGGTGGCGGGTTGACGCCCGCCAGTGACGCCCGTTTGTGACGCAGGCGACGATCAGTGCCAGGTATCGGTCAGATCACATCGGTTTGTGTCGCGGCGCGACACCCGACGCCTCCAGCGCGTCATTATAACTGCCTCGGTCACAACACATACCACAGCATCCTGCGCTGGGAGCCCAGTCCATCCCCGGTACGTCCCACGGCCCCTATCACCGCCTACTCTTCCCGCCTACCGTCTCTGACGGCACCGCTGCAGCCGGCCGCAGCTGGCCCAGACTCTGATAGCTGGGGTGATGACGGGACACACTCGGGGAGGAACGGACTCGGGGAAGACCGATCGGACATCTCGGAGCCACCGTGGGCGGCCCGCGGCGGGGGCGGGGGCGGGGGCGGCGGAGATGGTACCAGACACGGAAAGCACGGACCGGTCACGTGGTCGGTCCCGCCGCCGTTATAAACACAACACAAGAACTGCGTACGTAGGCCGGCGGCACGGGGCGATGACCAAAACACGGGGTTTTTGCGGCGCCGACGTAGCTAGCGTGGTATGTCGCAGGAGAACCGGGCAGACGCCAGACGGACACATTACGGGGGTACGGGGCTATAAAGCAGCGGGAAGACCCATACATACACGTGCTGTGTGCATGCATGTGGTCGCGGACAGCCACGTGGCGCCGCGCGCGTCTTAGCGCGGCCCACATCGACCAATGGTATACAAGGTCTGATTAGGTCAAGCCATGAAAAGCTGGTTTTAACTTGCCTTAGTCGGGATTTCATCGAATAAGCCTGCTGTCTGGTATTAATTGAGCTTAGCTAAGTTACGTTGCCTAGGTTATAGCACGGCTTAACCCGACTTAAATATGGTTAATGAAGCCCAAAGCTAATATGTAATCAAATGTGGACCGCTTTTCCACACCCAGGGGAGCCAAAGCACATTCCAGAACTTCTCAAGGTCAAAGAACTTCCGTTTTCCAGGCTGAATGAATGACCTAGCAGCTAGTAATCCTGGTAAATAAAGCTGCCCGAACCAAAGGTGAATGAATGCTAATGACGACTTCATTTTGCGAGCGTCAATAATCTCCCGTCAGAAGCTGGAGTCATCATCATCAGTTATCACCTGTCCCCCGCCGTGACCGAACAGCTGACTGATGGCTATTCACCGGTGTCTGTTCCCAGCCAACAGAGCGGCGACCCAGAGGGCGCGGGAGTGGAGTTCCTCGTCTCCAACGGATGCACCGATTTCCGCAAAAACCCCGCCACCGGCGCGTGAGTAGACAGAGACAACTCGGAGATAGAACAGGGACCTCGCAAATCAATCACCCATCCACCTCCTCTGATTGATAATAGGCAGCGCTGCAACTGCTTTACGGCACCCATAAATCGCCCTAATCGTCCCGCGAACAGCTTGCAGTTGCAACTTCTCCGCAGCGGGCTGAGATCACCCCGCCAGTTGATCTCATCAGTCAGCCCGCAGCGCACGCGCCCCGCCCGATAGTCAGGCCGCGTTCCCCGTGCCACCCGTCCTCCTCTGTCTACCGCCAGACACCCGAATTAGTCGCGTAAAGCCGCTCTGGTGCGCAGCTGACTGTACCCAGAGGTCAGCAGGGCCGTACGTCGTACGTCGCCCCGTTCAGGGCCCGCCGCCGGTACCGAGACAAACGGCGGCGCAGGAGACTGGACTGTCCCGGTCGGCTGTTTTGATAGCCGTCTGGCGCCGGCGGAATGCGAGGGGCGGAGGGTACGACTTTGAATGACGCGACCACCGCCCCTTCCCTCTCATCCTGCTGTTTGTGTATGACTGTTCCACTCCGGCTGTTCATGACTGGCTGTAGCTGGTGCTGGACAGTCCACGCCGGCCCTACGCTTTACGTCTGATGTCACATGACCCAAGAGTTGTTATGTTTTGTCTCAGAGTCCTGCGTACTATGGCGCGACCTTCTTCCTGGTATCAAATGTCCACCCCAACTCGCATTCCAAGACTGCCACGCCGAGAACCAGTGATGACGGGCCAGTGATGACGTCTTTCGTCACATTTCAGATACGTGCAGATGTGTTTCTGCGACAAGTCGCTGTGTAACACCGCGGGCCGGTGGGGAGCGCCGTCGGCCCCGCTGCTGCTGATGCTACCGCTCGCCGTGACCCGGCCGTGACCGTCTGTGACGGGCCGTTAGCAGCGGCGTCACGGAGCGCAGGACCACTGTGACAGCCCGTCAACACGGGCGTGACGGACCGTCAACACGGGCGTGACGGCCCGCCAACACGGGCGTGAGTCAACACGACTGTGACGGAACAGCTGTAACGAGCTACCACCGCTGCTGCTGCTGCTGCTGCTGCTGCTGCTGACAGGCTGGACGAAATGCCATCGCCTCAGTGCAGGCAAAGTAGCCTGAGCAAGCCATCATCAGTGGGATTTCCAGTTACCGTCGCCCACTGACCCCATCACTTCATCTACCGAGCCGCTGCCGGAACGCCCCACCGGCTCTCTGGCTTCCTTCTCAGCTCAGCGCATCGGTGCCATCTTCTTACCTCGCCGCCTCTCTGCCATCCTCCTCACACCTCATCGCCTCTCTGCCATCTTCTCACACCTCACCGCCTCTGTGCCATCCTTCTCGCCACCCACCGCTCGTTAGCCCAGCCCGTGAGCCCACTCACCCGTGACGGCTCACCGCTCGACGGCACGGAACCACAGCGGAGCACGGAGCGAAGAGTGATTACATCAGGGGCCTCCGGCGCCGAGTCAACAATGACCGGGCCACGGCGCGGTGGTAACGCACGGCCGACCAGCGGGAACCGGCGCCGCGCCGCGCGGCCCAGTGGCCGGCGGCGTGATGGGCGTGACACACTGACACAATGATGGTGACACAGTGCTCGAACGAGCTGACACGCGGCATGTCGTCTGTTGTGACACGGCAATGCATTGATTTGTGACACAACGGCTCAACTATGACAAGCCAATTGATATGATGCTTAATTTGTAGCTCGATTTACAGCCAACACGTGCCTCCACGCACGCTAATGAACCCCCTGCGCCTGCGCCGACCTCCAGACGGTCAAATTCGTCCGGCCGGCTGCACTGTGTGCCTCGCCGGCCTGTTGAGCCAATCACCGCTGGCAAGTGGCCCACCGGATGGCGAATAATCGTACACATTGACGCCGTAAGAGCCGACTGTTGGCCGGTGGCACAGACACGTGGCTGAGCTGAGGGTTGTTGGCTAGTACAGCGCAGAAGGGCGTTCCCAGACGATAGGTAGTGAAATGTTCGCCAAAGGTCGGCGCGGGCCGGAAACTGCGTGCTGTATTGGCTGATATATTGATCATGCTGTCGCCCAGACGTCAGGTGGGTCTATATTGGGAACGATCGATTAATTCAGACTACATGTTGATGCTGTTTCATGCTAGCCTTCGGAGATTGGTTATTTGTTGGGAGATGAAAGTGGGAAGTGTTGATATTTGCAGTAATAACAGCTACCGATAGCACCTTGAATAGCTCAATCTGGGCATTGCCTTCACCGATATTCGATCATGGGCAGGTTACAGTTTCTTTGAAAGCACCCAACGCTTAGTGTAAGAACATATTTCAAATCGGTTGCGGACTCTTCGCCCCGCGTCTCAAACTGTGTATTATTTAGTGCACAACACAGAGGCACAGCAGAGTGTTCACTTACCCAGGTAAGGTATACACGGCAGCTTCGCTCGAGACAAGAGATCGCGGAGTTTCTCCCAGTTGTTGACATCCAGAAACAACTCGCGCTGTTTCTCAAACTTCTGCAGAACATTCTTGGGCAAATGTGCCCACATCTTTTGTAACCTGAAAGGAAAAGAAAGGTTGCTTTAAGACGCACATTGTATTGACTACATATTGACGTGAAAATTTACGAAATAAATATAACCAATCCGACATGCCATTGAGTGCGATATAGAAGGAAAATTGACCTGAGGTCAAAAGGAAATAATTCATAAGCTTATTGGTGTAGATATACCACGAAAACACAGTTCTTGGTCGGTGTCCGTTACCAATAACTGTGTGTGCCAGAATAATAGGACGTTTTGGGTTTCTGAGCCGCGGTGTAACGGAAGCCAGACGTCGGCATAAGAAATGGGCCGCGAAACACAACACCATTTATGGCTTCAGTTGGCTACCGATACCAGCTCGCCGCTAGGTACAATGTATTGCGCCCACTTCTTACAAGGTTTCTATAAATGACGCACAAACATATATAACCTTCACATATTTCCTTGCTTTGTTCGTGTTAGCACAACACTCAGCGGACCAGTAAAACTAACAGAACTGGAGCTGATTTCACATGCAAAAGCCACGTGTAGACCTATTTCCGTCGTGTTAACATGGAGATTATCCTAATAAATCGGGTTTATCTAGTGTAATCGCCGACTCTGCCGTCCAAAGGCAAAAACGCATATGTCGGGTCATGACCTGACCCGACATATGCGGTTTTGCCTTTGGACGGCAGGACTCTGGCTGGCGCAACAAAGACGGGGAAAATGCCAACAGACTATGAAAATCAGCTGACCGGACTAAGCGCTGAATCATCGGTAATTAATGATGATATAATAATGTGCCACAAACAACACTTTACACACTGAATTAATCCATTACATAACACCCCAGCAATCCAACAGGTGCTGATTCCAGAGTGCCAATACCAATATAAAACAACTTCAGACCCACATGATACCGATTTAAACCAGTACTAACACAAACAAATACCATTGGAGAAACGTACGCCGCAAGCCCTCCTCCCTCCCTCTCTCTCCCTCTGTCCCCTCTCACCGGTAGATGGGCGCCGTCTGCAGGGCCGAGATGATGGCGAACTGGCCGTGCAGGTTGTTGAGCTCCTGCAGTCGTTTGGCGACGCGGATGAACAGACCCAGCACCTCTGCCCGCTGCTTGACGCTGCGCACGTTCAGGATCTCCTTCACCGTCCAGAAGCTCACCTGGCGAGGCAAGTTAGGGTCAGATTGGCGGTCAGGGAGAGCTCGAAGGGGTAGAATGGCATGGCGATACAAGATCAGTGGAGCTGGAGACGATAGTGGTCAGTGGTTGCACAAGGGGCCACCAGGCCACCAAAGACTGATGGAATGGTCACTAATGAAAGCGAAAATGAAGAACAAAGACTCTTTAATTGGAAACCCAAGTCGTATCAACCAAATACGGCGAGTAAGCCATCAGTTGCAGGTATTATTACTGCCCACAAACGACACAAACTCCACAGAAAAAGAGTAAATCCTCCTAAATTGGATGACAATACAGTACAACACCCAAATAAGAAAACACAAAGAAACAGCGAGCCTAATCCCACCAGTCCGGCATCCTCTCTGCAGCTGCGGTTCTCCTCACTACATCCCATCTGCACCATACCCGTCAATTCCCCGAAAGCCTCCACCGTCCGCTCGTGTCCACCGACTCTCTGGTCAGCTCATGGCCCACAGATTACCACCGACAGCTCACAGCGGTCCCAAGCACACTACCGCCGTAACCAGGACGGCTGGCGGCGACAGACACCTACCGTTCCCTATTCAACCCGCGCCGTGACGAGCGGCGCTGTGTGAAAGGTCGTGCTCACGTCACGAGAGGAGGGGGAGGGGTAGATCCGGTACTCGTTCTCAGTACGACAGTCTGTCGCCGGGTGGTTTTGGGTGGAACTGGGTAAGGTGCTGGGATACGGTGTGATCGGGCTGATGGGACGGTCTGGTTAGGTGGTAGGAACGGGTGCAGTGAACCGGTACCCGCCCAACGGAACGGAGCGGGCCACTGGAGACACAGAGAGAGTCGGTGGATCGTTACTGAGTGGCTTGGCGTTTCAAAACCCACGGCACAGGGTCTCTGCACCCAGCCCTCGCACCGACCCATGTCTCATCGCAAACAACATGGCACGAACTCGACACCCTCGCTTCACTGACCTCCTTACCATGCAACCCAATCCCAACTTCCTACATACATTTGCTTTCCAATTTCCAATATCCCAATCACTCTGTACCAGCCCCCCCCCCACACACACACACTCCCCAGCGCAACTCTACCTGATTGAAGCGGCGGGTGAACGCGACGACGTTGGGCGACAGGATGTGTTTGTCGCGCCGGTTCCAGCCCAGGCAGGCCAGCTCGTCGGGCTGGATGCGTTTGAAGACCTCCCAGTCGGCGCGGGTGATCTGGGAGGCGAACTCCTCGGGCGGAATGGTCAGCACCTCGAGGAAGGCCGGCTTGCCGCCGCCGCCGCCGCCCACCGCGCGCGGGAGGCTGCCGCAGAGGAGGTCGGCCGTCACAGATCTGCGGCACATGGCGGGCGTGACGTAACGTAACGCGACATAACGTGGCACTCTTGATTATACGCCGGGTCTTTGTGTGTCAGACAACAGGGTTAGCGAATACTTCTGCATCTGCATACCACAGGGAAAAACACAGGCTAGCTGCACAACTGCATCCAAAATGCACTTCGTTGGCAAATTTCAGCAGTTAGGTAGCGGCATCAGCCTGTCGCAATCATTTGGCTTGCGCCACATTGACAAGGCACAGACTAGCAGTTAGCATAGACGACAAGCCCTCACATCCTGGGTCTCAATCTACAATGGACATCTGCTGTCTGATTGAAGCAAGTAAACTGGGGTTTGAAATGAGCTTCTGGAAGCTTCTACGTATTGGGAGGCACTGTACAGACGCCCCAGACAGTCGTGCATATCCAAACATGTTTAGGTATGCACCGATTTTGATCGTAAGCATCTTTCTTTGTACACAGACGAAACATTAACCACAATCTACGATCTGGCACAAGTCACCAGCTGGTCGATGGTAGGTAACATATCAAACCATCCTATGCCATCTACCACTCGTTCTCCCCACAATAACTCGCATCGCCCTCCGCCTCCTAAGACCAGCACGAACCCGTCAACAGCGCGTCGTGTACAAGGACACGCCGGCGCGGCTCGCATGCAAGCCAAATCACGTGCGGACCGGTCTGACCAGCGCGACGGTCGCGGTACGGACGTCACTGGCCAGCTGCTTACGTGATGGTCAGCAGCGGCTCTGTGCCGTCGTCACAGCAGACGGACAGCGGCCGGTAGTAGCCGGGTACGGAGGCGGAGCGGGCTACCGCTGCTCGCTGAGCCAGCGTCGGCGGCACGGGCAGCATCCTCGGCCGTTCACCCCGGGCGGTGGTTGGGGTAGCGGACTGTAACCACTGACTACACACCACGGGGGAGGTTCAACTGCACAGACTCCACACCCACACACACGCGAGGACGCTCGCACTTCCGCGGCCGCGGTCACCGGCCGGATATCCGCGGCTCCGAGGCGCCCGCAGCTTGGAAAATCGCCCCCGCCCAAAGCCACAGAGAGACGGAGAGTTCGTTCTGGAAGCGGCGCCGCACCGAGTACCACTGGGGCCACTCGGCACACCAGCACCGACACAGGAAAACCACGCCGGAAAACCACGGCGGCCACAGACACAGGGAGCTTTATCTCCCAGGAATTCCGCTGCGCCCCCGCGCCGCGTGTGTGTGTGAAATGCAGCAGCCTGGAAGCTTGGAGATTTGTAGCCTTCAGCCGCACTATTCAAAGTTCAAAGTTTTGTTTTACAGATGCTCTTGAATAAATACGAGAAAACACACCGACTTGCGGAAAAGAACGGTGATTCTAAGTTATCAAATCATACGAGCAAAAGTATTCGAAGTAAGATCAACTCATCGCTCACCACTCTACACAGTAAATATCGAACTACTTTCAAAGACACTCTCGCAGACGCCTTTCCAACGGAAGCATCTTTCGTGCCAAATACGGGCTCAGGTGGCTCTGAGTGCTGCCAGATGTTTCATAGGGAATACCGCGCCGTCGACGCAGCAGCCCGGGCCAGAACGGCTGATAAAACACAGTTACGACCGGCACAGATTCCGTAAAGCGTAACTGGGGCTCCGTAAAGCGTAACGACTCCTATCGGTTCCAGTCGTTAAGCAGAAGCCAATCGGTTCGAACGGAGGGCACAGGGGCGATTCGGCGGCGGAGGCGGGGTCTTCTGAGGGTTATAACACACCTGTGTGTTTCGTCCCTCGCTCACCGCATATCAAGGTCATGTGGCGTCATGAAGTGATCAGTAACTAGGCCCAAGGCGAAGACCATAGGACACCTGTCAGGTATATGAGCCAATACCCGATAGCGTGTGATCGCCGCGGTCTTTGTGGGCCGATAGGAGTCGGAATACGGCCTTGCCACTTCAATCGAGACCTTGGTGACGTACTTTGTGTGATAACAAGACCACCGCGATGAACCGAGTGCCGCCAAATACCCGATAACTAATGACTGATAACAAACAGACTTGCATTGCCGTATCACAGCGAACCCGAATACTCTGTGAAGTACCTTCACGACCTCACAGCATGACCCCCAGGCCGCTGACCTTACACAAACCATGACCTCCTCTCACCCATCTGGCTCAGATCCTACCAATATCCTCCAAACCCTGCAGTATGTTCAAACTCCAATGAAAGCTCTGCCGGCTCCACCCGGAGTGTGACGTTTGGCACCGTTCCACCGCTCCCCGTGACCGGCTGGCCGTTACTGCGCCCTCCCGACGCCTGGACGGCCGGGCGGCGGCTCACGGCGGCTCACGGCCTCACCGGGCGCCGCGCCGAGCGAGGCGACCCGAGACCTGTCTGTTCCGGCAGATAGGGTGGCCAGCCGGAGATCCCAACAGGCCGTGTCGCTGGCTGAGAGGTTCCATGATGCCATCGGGACTTGATAATATTCCATACCTTATGTTACCAATGTTATTAATGAGGTGTCACGGAATGTCAAGAACAGGATGAACATCGCTGGATGAGCGATCAAGCTCAATAATCCAACCCTGCCTTCAAGCTGACCCGAAAGCGCGGCCTGTCCTTGGAGGTCACAGCCC